TTCTAGACCCCTCCTGGGAGCCGGCCAGGCCGTCCTCCGCTCGGGGATACAAGCCTTTTGCATGGCTCTCGAAGAGGTTCCCGAGTCGTTCCTTTTCATTACGGACCGCCTGTCGATTGCCAGGAAGCGGCGCCGTAAGATGGATTTCCCCAACCCCACAGGTGCCAACGAAGATTTGCGGGCTAGGGCCCGCATTGCTTGGAGAAGTAGGCCAGGCACCGCCACTGTCGAAAGGCAGTGGGCACCCTCTAATACTGACGAATCTCCAGAGCTGCTGGTGTCAGACCTGCAGGTGGAGATGGCCGCAGGGAGTGCGGCTGCTGATATTTGGGCTCGGGAGGGGGCGGAGCTGGCGTGGGAGGTCGGGCTGGTTGGGGAGACCCCTCAGACGGATCGCATCGATGCTATAGCCAGCCTGGTGCGACGGCGCGCCAGACGACCGCCAGCTGACTCGGCTAGTGCTGAGTCCCAAGTCAGATGCGAGAGAGCGGCTGTGACCAAGCGGCCGCCTTGCAACGTGTATTCCAGAGCAGTCAAGGAGTCGGCCCACCAGCTAGAAAAGTCTGGCACGGGCTGGAGGTGCGCCGAGTGTGATCAGGTGGTGCCAGGCTCCAAGTTATTTCGCTTCGCGGCCACACCCTGTGCAGGCAGGGCCATCCCAGAGGGAAGCAGGCCGCCTGAAGTGCAGCAGGCTCCCCCGTCGTTTGTTGCGGGAGCGCTCGAGTTTCATGAGACCCACGCGATGGCTTATTTTGACAAGTGATTCATGTGCGCCTGCAGCAAGTGTGGCCGATTCGCGACAGTAGACGATAGACACGTGAAGGTTCGGTGTGGAGGGATGACCCTCAAAGGGGCCGAGAACCTCAGTGGAATTCGGAAGGGGTTTATCCTAGGAGAGAGTGGCCCCGGCAGGCAGTTGTGGAGGCTATGGCGGCTCCCGAACGCGCGAGAAGCGCGTCGTCGAGTGGCCCACCTGCGGATGTGCCGAGGGCCCCCTCTCCCCTTCCCTTGCCCCTCTCCCGGCTGGCTCGAACCCGTGGCAATGCTCAGAGAGGCGAGCCCGAGCAGCAGCTAGCACAACGTGCGCGTCTGCATGGAGCTTGGACCCCCCAAGCGTACAGTGAGGGTCTTGACCGAAGGAACCATAAATAAGAAGCCCTTTCTTTCCAAGTAAGCCCATGAAGCCAGAAGGAACGGCCGAGCCCCTTTCTAGCGGCGTTCCGCTACGATTTGCTCTTGCAATTCGACCCCCGCCCTCTCCGCCAAGCCACCAAGGAACGCCCGCCCCCCCCCCTCCCCCGCCGCTCCAAAACCGCACGCAGAAGGGCAGCCTGCGAACGACGCGTTAGGAACGCCAGGCGCTGGGGTCAGGAACTGGACCTTAATGCCACTACCCTGGCGCGCGGAACGGGCGAGAGCTCCACCGCGCGCCCCGCAAGGAACGGGAGGGCCCCGGAGAGGCGCCGGGCTTTCAAGCGACCGCCGTCGCATTACGTCGAGCAAGCGCAAGGAACCGAGCCCCCCCGTGGAGCCCCGTTCCTTAGACCGTCCGCCCCGACCGAAAAAACGAACCCGCGCGTCCAAAATCGTAAGGAACACCGGGGGGCTCGCCGCCAAAAAGGTATCGGAACGCATGCAAACCTAAGGAACGACCGAGCCCCTTTTGAAAAGTAAGTGTTCCTTACTCAAGGTTTTCACTGTACCAGCCAGGTGCTGTCAGGGAGGAGGAGGCGGGGAGGGCTGGTTTGTCTTCTGGAGACTCCGACTAACTCCTCAATCGGATTGACGGCTCCCAGGTGGCGGAAGTGGTACATGCGCCACCCTGGGGAGCCTGTTGGGCATTCGTCCTCTCTCATAGCATTCAATTGCGTTCCTCCTCCTCCTCCTCCTCCTTCTCCTCCTCCTGCTCCTCCTCCGCCTCCGCCTCCGCCTCCGTCTCCTCTACCGTCTCCTCCTCCTCCTCCGCCTCCTCCGCCTCCGCCTCCTCTTCCGCCTCCGCTTCCGCCTCCGCCTCCGCCTCCGCCTCCTCCTCTTCCTCCTCCTCCTCCTCCTCCTTCTCTCCTCCTCCTCCTCCTCCTCCTCCTCCTCCTCCTCCTTCTTCTTAATCGTATTATTATTTTTGTAGTATTAGTATGCTTCTTATTATTCTCATTATTATTGTTATTAGTAGTAGTATTCTTCTTATTAATATTCATATTATTATTATTCTGATGATGATTATTATTCCTCTTCCTCCTCCTCCTCCTCTTCTTCTCCTCTCCTCCTCTCGTCCTCCTCCCCTCCTCCTCCTCCTCCTCCTCCTCCTCCTCCTCCTCCTCCTCCGCCTCCGCCTCCGCCTCCGCCTCCTCCGCCTCCGCCTCCCTCCGCCTCCGCCTCCGCCTCCGCCTCCGCCCTCCTCCGCCTCCGCCTCCGCCTCCGCCTCCGCCTCCGCCTCCGCCTCCGCCTCCGCCTCCGCCTCCGCCTCCGCCTCCGCCTCCGCCTCCGCCTCCGCCTCCGCCTCCGCCTCCGCCTCCGCCTCCGCCTCCGCCGCCTCCTCCTCCTCCTCTTCATCCTCCTCCTCCTCTTCTCCTCCTCCCTCTCCGACCTATGGCAAAGGTGATGGAAAATTCATCCATCAGGGGAGGACGACGACCCAGCGGGTCGGCCCGCGGCCGTGTGGGGGACGCGAGGCGGCCTGGGCCCCCCGCGGCGAGAGGCGGCCGGGAGAGCCAGCAGCCCGCGCCGCAAGGAGCGCCACATGCGCCAGCCCTGCGACTGCCGAGGAGAAGGCGCGGTCGAGAGGTTTGGGGTGGGGACCTTTGCGGACGCTGTCGGGCGGGTTGTGCATCCCTCCTCGGAATCAAACGCAAGTTGTTTCCCACGACTTGGCGGCGCCCCAGGACCCCAAAATCTCAGAGTTCGCGCCGAATGTGGCGACTGCAAACACAGAAATCTGACCCCTGTGGGCCGCGTTTCGCGCGTTGATCAACATTAAAACTTGCATTTGATTTCGAGGAGGGTTGTATCCGTCGGTCGGAAGAAGTGGGTAGAAACATGAAGTAGGACGGCGGGTAAAGTAGATTGGGTTCAGGCCCTCCCCGAGAATCACAGACCACGGCAAAGCCAAGCCGATGTTTGAGGTAGGCAGGCGCAAGACGAAGAGCAGGGCCTGGGAATCCAAAAATACCTACTTTCAACGACCGGGCGGATGGTCTAATCAACCCGTATAAGAAGGATGCGCGGCAAGGATGCAGGGGCATCGGAGGGCCATGTGAACGTGTTTCGAACGAGGTTGGCCAGCGAAAGTCGCCAAGGATGGGCCGAAGGGGTAAGGATGCAAGGGTAGCCTTGGAGAGATGCTCGCTCTTACGCTTGGGGAGAAAATGGGCCTAAAGGGGCCCTGTAGGGCCCCTTTTGGAGCCAGCGGGGGCCCACAAGGGGCCCTAACGGGCCCTTCTCGGCACCCCCTATTTAGGGCCCCACCTCCCATTACCACCCGCCCTGGGGGGCCCTCGTCGGGCCCCGGGACCGTCAGAGAACGGCTCGGGATGAGAAGCTGCTCCCAGGGAATGGATCGACGCCTCTGGGGGCCGGCGTTGCTTGAGAAAATCATGCTGTCGGGGGTCTGGGTCCGTGGCGCTGCAGCGAGAGTCGGGTGCATCCTCTCGCCTGGGGCGGCTCGTCGAGACGAGGCAAGAGCAAAGATGCCGCTGCCGCGGGAGGGGGGGGAAAGGGGGCAAGGGAGGGGGATAGTCAAGAGGGGGTCGCGAATCAGCCCGTGCAGCTGGCTTACCAGGCGCCCCCCAGCGCCAGAGGTGGCAATCGATGTCGAGGAAAGCGCTCGGCGGCAGGGCTGAAACCAGCTGCACGCAGCAGCTCTGGAAGATGGAGAAGAAGAAGAAGATGGAGAAGAAGAAGAAGAAGAAGAAGAAGAAGAGCTAAACAATTGTTTTAACGCATAACACACAGACTGTCGGAGCTCCGCGCGGATTTCTTGGATCGGCGCTGGGCCCCCCTCCCCGGAGCGCGGAGTGCGCCAGGGGCGGCACCCGAGGCGCCGCCCAGAGAAGCCCAGCGCATATCCGAGAAGTCCGCGCGGAGCTTCGAAAGCTGATGTTCCTGCTTTTTTCTTCCTCGATGTTCGACTCCCCCCCCCGTTCACCAGGTGCCCTCCTCCGTCCGATCCGAGATGCCACGGCGTCGACTGGGCCCGCAGGGGCAGGGCTCGATCCGCGAACCTCCGAGCTCGGCTCCCTCTCGATCCCCGACCCTCTGTCGTCCGATCCTCGAGACCGATCCTCCGGTCTTTGAGCTCGGGAGCTCGATCCTCGAATCCCCAGCCCTCCGATTCGCCTCTCGATCCTCGGGCTCCACCCTCGATCAACGAACCTCCGTCCTCGATCCTGGATCCTATCCTCAATCCTTGGGCTTGCAGGGGTGGGTTCGCACATGGCAGTTCTCTGGCTCCCGGATCCCAACTCGGGTCTCCAGCGGCCGTTCGGAACGATTCTCTCAGCACCCCTAAAGGCCCTGAGGGAGGCGCAGCCGCTGGAGAGCACCCCCGAAGACGTCAGAAAACCACGGAGAAAACGAAATCGTCAGAAAACCAGATTCCAAGACATCCAGCGCTCCGATTGTTTCGATGCGTGAACCCCCAGAGGTCTAGACCACCTCCCTGAGGTCGGATTTTTTCATCCCGAGTTGTGTTGTTCACTGTCCTGCGGCCCGTTGAGGGCACCCGAAGGCCGAAAATAACCCAAAACGGGCCGTTCCAATGTTCCGGAGCGTCAGATCCCTGGACTCTCCCTCCTTTAATAACAAAAAACGATACCACCACCACAACCAGGGACCACCAGCGGGAGGAGCCAGGGGGGGCCCCCCTGTTGATGTGGTTCCCCCCTCTCGCTCGAAACATCCCAGATCCCCAGAGGCATCGTGGACCTCCTCGCTGCTGGTGGCCCACCTGATGGTGGTGGTGTCGCTTCTCCTTCCCCCGACCCTCCCGACTGCCCCGGAGGCTCCGCCACCGCGTGGTACAGCCTGGCGTGGGCGGCGAGGTCCGGCGGGCTTGGGAGCTCGCGCAGGGCCTCGCGCGCGCGCTGGAGCGGGGCACGAGGTCCCGCAGCTGCCCCGATACGCAACACGAAGCACGTAGCGTATTGATACGGAGCGCATCACACGTAGTCTGAAAACGTAGGTCTGAAGCGATACGTTCGCCAAAACGTGGGCCAACATGCTGAGCCAACACGCAACGTACTGACACGGACGATTCGAACACGGCACGTGCTGTGTTTCAAAACGGGCGCATCGGGGCAGCTAAGAGGAGGTCTTCCAGGGCGTGGTCTTCGTTGGCTGCTACCAGCTGTCTCACCCGTGCCAAGACATCGCAGGGGCGCCTCCAAAGGCGCGTGCATCAAATGGAAATTGCTGTGGCGAGCCAGGCAGGCACGAAATCAAAGAACCCGCGGGCACCTTGCGACACGAAGACCTCACAGCCGTACAGCTTACAGCGACTTAGTCTTAACTGCACGAGCTGCTGACCCTCAGAGGCTGCCATCGCAGAGCACAGCTGCTTGCGGCCGAGATGCGCAGTCTACCATCTTGCTCTTGCATCCCTGGAGTCCCGTGACCAGGACAAGGACCAGAAGGATGAGGGCGGGAACGATGATGACGACGACGAGGGGGGGGGCGAACAGGATCGGCAGCGGAGCAGGACGACGACGACGACGACGACGACGACGACGACGACGACGACGACGACGACGACGACGGCGAGGAGGTGAAGAACGATGGAAACCGGGAGCGGGGCACGAGAAGGAGGGAGTGCAGGGAGGGTCACTCCAGGCCACCGCACTGCGCGCGTTGCGCCCCGCGATGCGCGGTGCGCGGTTACCATCGCGCCCTCGCGCCCTGGAGAAGGGCGCATCTCCAGACCGAGCCGCGACGCGCGAAACGCGATTGTAGCCTTGCGCCCCCCCCCCGGGTTACCCCGGTGATCCTGGCCCGCGGTCTCTCCAGGGCTGCCGGGGAGCCCCTGGCGACCCCAAAGGGCCCCATAGACGAGACCCAGAAGAGACGCCTGGGGGGCTCCAAGACGGTCCTGCCAGCACGGCTCGGCTCCGAGACGGCTCAGTTCCAGAGGGGAGGGGAGAAGCCTCCCAAGGTCCCCAGAAAAGGGTCCACAAGAATAGCCCTAAACGCCCAGAAACCTAGGTCATCGGTCCCATCCTCGATGCTCGATCCACGATTGGGAGGAGGAGGAGGAGGAGGAGGAGGAGGAGGAGGAGGAGGAGGAGGTGGAGTAGGAGGGAAGGGCACGGGCCCAGACATCCAGCGCTTCGATTTGTTCGATGCGCGGCCCCCCAGACCGCTCGACCCCTTCCCACCGACTTTGTTGATGGCCCCGAAGCCCGGGACCGCCTCCAGAATGCAAAATGACAACGAATCGGCCGCCTCGATTTGGCGGGTTCCGAAAACCCTGAATCCTGGGGGCGAAAAGTTTACTTACTTCTTGGGGGCACAAAGCTTGCTTTCGCCAGCTTCTGCCAGCCTTCTGCCGGCGGAGCCGACCCAGTTCTGATTACCTTTTGCGCTTCCTACTCACTCTTCACTCTTGTCGCTGGAAGTGGTGGGCCCGATGGAAACTCTACCGAAATCGTCGTTTCGGCGCGATCTAACGTCCTGCCAGATCGGGCCCCCCCAATTCTGATCTCTGCCAGCTTCCGCCGGCCTCCTGCCGGCCTTCGCCGAGGAATGGAGGGCAACCCCTCTACACCTCCGAAGCGAGGCCCCCTTTGGAGCGCCCGATTTCGTCTTCGAGGCGTCTGGGGCGTGAGCGGGGGGCCAGATCCCCAACACTGGGGAAACCAAAACGTACGGACACCGCTACTCCCCGGACCTCTCTTGGGGTGCGTGCTGACCAAAATCAAAGGCGAATCCAGCGGTGGCGACGAGGGTCCCAGGAGGCCCAGACAGGGGAAAACGAGGGAAGGGCAGCGGAATGGGTACTTCTCCCCCTTTGAAACATCTGGACTTTTTCACAATGACGAGCCCCCCCGAGGTCTGGCCCCCCTCCTGCACCGGCTCTCCGTCCCGAGCCCCCTGCTGACGGTCCCGGGGCCCAGCTCTGGGGCACCCAGAGGCCGAAGAGGGCCAAAAGCCTACCGCCGCGATTGTCTCACGCCGCGAGGGGGTCCAGAAGGGAAGGCAGACCCGGACATCGGGCGTCTCGAAAAAATCGAGACAGAGGTTGCTCATCGGTCTCTGGGGGCCCTTACGAAGCCCCAGGGCCGTCAAAGAACGACTCGGGATGGAAAACTGGCCCCCAGAAGTGGTCGAGAGGTCGGTGGCCCGTGTCTCGAAAAAATCTTGACGCAGGATGTCCCGGGAGGGTCCGGGAGGGGAGGCAGGGGGCGGCTTCTGCGGCTGGCCGCCCGCCGCCTCCAACGCCCGCACGAGCCCGGCCACGTCCGCCTGCGCACGCTCGCGCGGAGTTGCTGCCCGAGGTGCCCCTGGGCCCGATCTAGGTATCCTGCGCCTCGACAGTCCGCCGCCCCCCGCTTGGCGGGGGCGAGGAGGCGTGTGAGACATCTGGCTGTCCCCCCTCCCCCAGTCCCCCCCGCCGGGGCCCAACCAAAATCCGGTTGAAGGGGGGGTGGGGGGTACGCGGGGGGACGCGTGGGGGTACGAACTCGTCCACGCGCCTCTGGGGCCTTCGGAGCTGCCCAAAAGCCCCAAGGCGCCCCAGAGAGCCCAGACAGAGCGCCAAGGAAGACAGTCCAAGAGAGCGTCGAAACGGCCCAAGGTAGCCCCACGACGGTCCAAGATGGCCTGAAGACGGCCAACGAGGCCTCCAAAACGGCCCAAGAGCGCTCCCGGAGGACCGCCCAGAGGGTCCAGAGAAACAAAAGCCATCCCTATTCCTGAAGGATAAAACATGTTTGACGCAATCGCCTTTTTGGTCTTGACAACGGTCAAGACGGCCTCAGGGGCCCGAAGATCGCCCCAAGACTGCTGATGAGGTTCCCAAAACGGCCCCAAGACGGCCTAACAAGACGGCCCCAAGAGCCCCTACGACGGCCACAGAGCCCCACGAGGCGCCCAAGAAGGACCCAAGAGGGGCAATACGGACTAACATTTCGAGCCTTCCCACCCAAGATGGCTTAGAGAGCACCCCAGAAGCCACCGATGCGCCCCAAGAGGCCCCCAAAGGCCCCCAAGAGACCACTGAGAGGCCCCCAAAAGCAACCCCGACGTCCCCAAGACCGGTTCAAGAGGCCGCTCAAAGGCACCTCGCGAATCGCATATTGGAAACTAGAGCCTTGAGTGGCGAGGGGGGTCAATCGAGAGAGAGAGAGAGTGAAAGAGAGAGAATATATATATATATATATATATATATATATATATATAAATACACACAGACATAAAGAAAGAAATAACAAAATATGACTTAAGAAATTACCCTGGCGACGTACCCAACCCCTGCGCAAAAGCGGGGCGCAAATAGTTTAGGATACTTTATAAGGGGGCGATGACCGAGCGAGGGTTACATATGTCTGCAGACGGAATTCGGGAGACTCGCAGGACACTGGCTACAGGAAAAGGGCTTGATAAAGCTGATGAGTTATAATTCCTGAGCACTCCTAGCCACTTCGAAAACGGGGATCACAGCAGGCCTCGAAAGTGGCGACAGTTTCACAGATCGCACCCCCCCAGGGATGGCGAGGTCTAATTTGGGTCCGCGCGTGGCGTCACTGTGCTGGGCCCCCCAGCAGGCCTCGAAAGTGGCGACAGTTTCACAGATCGCAACCTCCAGGGGATGGCGAGGTCTCATTTGAATCTGCCCGTGGCGTCACTGCGCTGGGCCCCCCAGCAGGCCTCGAAAGTGGCGACAGTTTCACAGATCGCAGCCCCCAAGGGATGGCGAGGTCTCGTTTGAATATGCCCGTGGCGTAACTGTGCAGGACCCCAGCAGGCCTCGAAAGTGGCGACAGATTCACAGATCGCAGCCCCCCCAAAGATGGCGAGGTCTAATTTGAATCCGCGCGTGGCCCTCACTGTGCTGGGCCCCCCAGCAGGCCTCGAAAATGGCGACAGTTTCACAGATCGCAGCCCCCCAGGGATGGCGAGGTCTCGTTTGAATCTGCCCGTGGCGTCACTGTGCTGGGCCCCCCAGCAGGCCTCGAAAGTGGCGACAGTTTCACAGATCGCACCCCCCCAGGGATGGCGAGGTCTCATTTGAATCTGCCCGTGGCCCTCACTGTGCTGGGCCCCCCAGCAGGCCTCGAAAATGGCGACAGTTTCACAGATCGCAGCCCCCCAGGGATGGCGAGGTCTAATTTGAATCCGCCGTGGCCCTCACTGTGCTGGCCCCCCAGCAGGCCTCGAAAATGGCGACAGTTTCACAGATCGCAGCCCCCCAGGGATGGCGAGGTCTAATTTGAATCTGCGCGTGGCCTCACTGTGCTGGGCCCCCCAGCAGGCCTCGAAAGTGGCGACAGTTTCGCAGCCCCCCAGGATGGCGAGGTCTCATTTGAATCACTGTGCTGGGCCCCCCAGCAGGCCTCGAAAATGGCGACAGTTTCGCAGATCGCAGCCCCCCAGGGATGGCGAGGTCTAATTTGAATCTGCGCGTGGGCCCTCACTGTGCTGGGCCCCCCAGCAGGCCTCGAAAATGGCGACAGTTTCACAGATCGCAGCCCCCCAGGGATGGCGAGGTCTAATTTGAATCTGCGCGTGGCCCTCACTGTGCTGGGCCCCCCAGCAGGCCTCGAAAATGGCGACAGTTTCACAGATCGCAGCCCCCCCAGGGATGGCGAGGTCTCATTTGAATCTGCGCGTGGCCCTCACTGTGCTGGGCCCCCCAGCAGGCCTCGAAAGTGGCGACAGTTTCACAGATCGCAGCCCCCCAGGGATGGCGAGGTCTAATTTGAGTCTGCGCGGGGCCCTCACTGTGCTGGGCCCCCCAGCAGGCCTCGAAAATGGCGACAGTTTCACAGATCGCAGCCCCCCGCAGGCAAGACAGGAGAGGCAGGGAGGGAGGAGGAGGAAGGAAGTAGTGGAGACCACACTGCTCTATTCAAAACGAATACCCAACCAAGGAGGGTTGGGAATAAACAGAGAGAGAGAGAGAGAGAGAGAGAGAGAGAGAGAGACACAGAAAAGACAAAAAAAAAAAAAAAAAAAAAAAAAAAAAAAAAAAAAAAAAAAAAAAAAAAACAACAACAACAATCATTTTAAGACTGTTCGCCCTTATCTGCTCGAGTGTCGAATACCGCGATTTTCCCAAACCCTCGATACCCGCCCTTTTCGTCTTCGATCGAACCCCTTTTGGGGGGTATACCTTTCTTCCCTGCAGGCCGGGTCCCGACAAGCGGCGGGGCGGCCGCGGACCGTCGGCATGGCCAGCGGCAGCGCTGATCGGCGGGGCGGCTGCGGACCGTCGACCCGACCCCAAGAGGGACAGACAACAACAACAACAACAACAACAACAACAACAACAACAACAACAACAATCATTTTAAGACTGGTCTCCCTTATCTGCTCGAGTGTCCGATAACGCGTATTTCCCAAACCCTCGATACCCACCCTCTCCGTCTTCCAGCGAAACGGGCCCTGGCAAGCGGCGGGGCGGCCGCGGACCGTCGGCTTGGTCAGCGGCAGCGCTGATCGGCGGGGCGGCCGCGGACCGTCGACCCGACTCCCAAAGGGACGAAGAGGGGACCGACCACGACGAGGACGACGACGACGACGACGACGTCGACGACGACGGCAACGACGGCGACGACGACGACGAGCGAAAGCGAGAGCGAGAGAGAACGACAGCAGGGCCACGAAGGACACGAAGTAGGCCACGAACGGCGACAGCGGGGACACGAAGAGAATGCGTATGGGACCAGAAGAGCGCGAACGAGCGGGGACCACGAAAGGCAGATAATGCAAGGCCACAGAAGGCAACGATGGGGCCACTGAAGGTAGCAACTGGGCCACGTAGGACACTGAGGGGGCCACACACGGCGACAGCGGGGCCACGAAGGGCATGCACATGGGGCCAAAACCGGCGCGAACGAGCGGGGGCCACGAAGTGCATACGTAAATTGAGCCGCGGAGGGCAAGAACGGGGCCACTGAAGGCAGCAACGGGGCCACGAAGGGCAGCGAGGGGGCCACGAAGGGCGACAACGGGGCTACGAAGGACATGCGTATGGGGCAACCACGGGCGCGAACGAGCGTGGGCCACGAAAGGCATACGTATATGGGGCTACGAAGGGCAGCGAGGGGGCCACGAAGGGCTGCAACGGGGCCACGAAAGGCAGCGAGGGGGCCACGAAGGGCTGCAACGGGGCCACGAAGGGCTGCAACGGGGCCACGAAGGGCAGCGAGGGGGCCACGAAGGGCTGCAACGGGGCCACGAAACAAAGCGAGGGGGTCACGAAGGGTTGCAACAGGGCCACGAAGGGCAGCGAGGAGGCCACGAAGGGTTGCAACGGGGCCACGAAGGGCAGCGGGGGGGCCACGAAGGGCTGCAACGGGGCCACGAAACAAAGCGAGGGGGCCACGAAGGGCTGCAATGGGGCCACGAAGGGCAGCGAGACCCCGATTCCTAAGTAATCCGCGAAGGAATCCTAAGCGTGAGCGCGATTCCTGGGTGCCTGGGTGTCGGGAGCGCGGCGCTGGAGTAAATTGCAAGAAACTCCAACGCAAGGGCGCTGTTCTATAGTAAATTGCAAGCAAGTCTCCACCGAGACCGCGACTCCAGAGCGACGGGAAGGCGATTCCTGAATAAATTGTACGGAAGTCCCAAACGAGAGCGCGATTCCTGAATAAAATACGAGGAAGTCTCGGGCGGGAGCGGGGGGTCCTGGCTAAATTACGAGGAAGTCTCAGGCGGGAGCCGCTGTTGTTGTAAACCAAGGGCCAACGACTCAGTTTGACGCTCAAGCCTTTCCCAAATGAAAAACAGAATACGAGCCCCGGGAAGATCACTTCAATCGAAAAAACAATGTGCACCGGACGGGGGGATCAACAATAAGTATTCTTCGTAACTGAAAATTCAACAACAACAACAACAGCAACAACAACAACAACCATTTTAAGACTGTTCGCCCTTATCTGCTCGAATGTCGAAGAACGCGTATTTCCCAAACCCTCGATACCCACCCTCTCCGTCTTCGATCGAACCCCTTTTGGGGGGTATGCCTTTCTTCCCTGCAGGCCGGGCCCCGGCAAGCGGCGGGGCGGCCGCGGACCGTCGGCCTGGCCAGCAGCAGCGCTGATCGGCGGGGCGGCGGACGACGTCGACGACGACGGCGACGACGACGAGGACGACGACGGCGACGACGACGACGAGCGAAAGCGAGAGCGAGAGAGAACGACAGCAGGGCCACGAAGGACACGAAATAGGCCACGAAGGGCGACAGCGGAGACACGAAGGGAATGCGTATGGGGCCACGAAGAGCGCGAACGAGCGGGGGC